CCGCTGGCCTCCCTGCCGCTCCCAGAACACACCAGGCACACTCACACCTCCGGCCTTCGCTGTAGCTGTTTGCTCTCCTGGAAGGCTTTCCCGCAGATCTCTGCTTGGCCAACTGCCTTACTCCTGCAAGTGTGCTCACGTCCCAAACAGCAACCTGCCCCATTCCCTCCGCTCTACTGACCCCCTTGACCCGCCCTTCCGCTCCTTTGAGGTACCCATCACCATTTTCTCAGTGTTACAGGCTTCACCTCTCTTGTCGTGCTAATTCGTGATCCCCTCTTCTCCTTGCTCTCTCACACAGCTCTCCCCGTCTCCCTCCACCTCCCCCCAGGGAGGTGAGCCCCAGGAGGACAGGGAGCTTTGTCCGCTGGCTCACTGACTATCCCAGGACACACGGGGGTGCTCAGCAAATACTCGTTGAATGAAAGAAAGAGCGAACTTTAGTGAAAGAGAAGCTTTTGGAGGAAGTCACACCTGGGTGTCCTGCCTTCCTGGTATCAGCCCTGTTCAGAGCGGGGCAAACGCCTCCTTGCTGGGCAAGTGCTTGTGGGCAGAAGGCTGCTCTGCTTTGGTCCTTGGTGCCCATCTAAACTCTCCGGGCCCAGCCCACACTACCAATTCTCTCCAGCTTGCCCGACGTGACCAGGTGTCCTGTTTGTTCAGATGCTGCAAAGACCTTTTTTTTTTCCTTTCTTTTGTAAATTCTCAAATTGATGTTCCCTCTTGGGAGTCCAGGAAAGGTAGCCAAGCTTTAAAATCATGTAATTATTGAAGCCATTTCCAAGGTATTTTGTCTCATATCTTAAAAATATCCTGGACATACTTTTCAAAATACTTAAATAATAAAGCTTTAGCTAACCAGGACATAAGCATCGATCCCCCAAGAACACTTGGCAGAAGGGGAGTGGCCTCAGCGGCTTCGGGCTTCTCCCACCCCCACCTGCAGTGGAACCCGGGACCCCGACGCGGCGGCAAGACAGCACCCACCGCTTTGCTGAAGTTGACCTGGATGAGGTTTGTGATGGGGTCCCTCTGTATCAGGGGCTGCCCCAGGTTGAAGTGGCAATCTTTGTCCACTCCTGCCACCCACTGCTGGTAGATCTTCTCTCGGTAGCTTCTCAGCAGCTCCATCATCTCGTCGTATTTCTGGTAGGTCAGCTTGGCCTCCACGCTGGACATGACCCTGCCATCAGAGGCAGATGGGGTGGTGAGGCCCAGGCCCCACGTTCTCGCTTCCTCTGGGGCCTCGTTAGAGTCCCAACTCTGTCTGTCAGACCTGGGGGCGCTGACACAGACAGCTCACTTTCTGTTTCTTCCAGGCCGAGAGCCTGAGTAAACAGACGGACAATGGCCGTCAATCTGCAGCAATCAGTCCAGCAAGTCAAACAATAACCCCGGAGCAATTGGCCCCAGATGGCCAGGACCTGATTAGCAACGGCCAGCTTCCCTCATTTTCGCCCTCCCTTCCAACTTAGGACCAACCAGAGATGGCTAAATACGCCCCCTACGCAACCACATGGGATGCCCCTCTTCTAGTCCCCATGCCAACAGCCTTCGATCCCGCGGGGCACACCCGAAGCTTCCCTCTGTTCCTCCGCAAGCTGTCCCACTCCACTGCCTGCCTTCGAGTCTCGGCCAAACGCAGGTGATGGTGGCCACCTCCCTGCCACGGCAGACTCGGAGTGGACAGCCTGTGCTTGTTCTCATCTGAGTGGCCTTTGTTAAACAATTTCCATCAGGCTGACCATCAGCAGAGGGCAAGCCAGATTCTTCCTGACCACACTTGCCGAGAAGGCGCCCGCAGGAGGAAAGGGCGCACATGGCTGGGGTGTCCTCTGGGATTGTGCTTTGGGAAGTAAAGGCTTGGCCAATACGAAGCGTCAGATTGCCTCGGGATTGGGATAGATGCCCTCCCCCCCAGCCCTGGCCGTGGAGGGGCGCTGCCCACCCGGTGCCGCCACTCACGGGTGCTCTACATGCTTTAGGTCCTTCATGGGGGCCTCCAGCCTCTCCTGCAGCTCTAGGCTCCATTTGAGCTGCCCGGCCACTGCGGGCATGTTTTTGTGGATTGGGGGTATATTCCCATTTGCAGAGGCTGCAATCTGGGCATCATACAAGATCTTGGTGTTGTCCAGCTCAGCATCAAACAGCTCCAGCATGACTGAGTACCTGGGTACCACCTCGGCAAGAATCAGAGGCCGCTCCAAGAGGCCCCCACACATGTACAGGAGCTGGAGAGAGACGAGAGATGTGCCTTCAGTAGGCTCCCCACCGCCTGCCCCATGCATCCCGCCCAGCCCCATGGCTGTTGATGCAATGTGTGCAGCCAAGCTTCAGGAGCAAGAAAGCAGGTACCCTGCCAAGATAAAGATCCATTTGGACCTTTCTCTGTGTAACAATTGGTTAAATGAATGCCTCTGTGATCTTCATGTTGACACGTGCTGAGTCCCAAAATACTGGAGGGTGAGGTGGGCCCTTACCAGAACCTGGAGGCAGAGGCTGTGTGGGGTGGACATGTGACAGAAGTTCTGGAAGCTCTGCACCCCCTGAAGTCACCCCCACATGCTCCCACAGGGGGAGGAGAAATACCTGAGGCTCCCTCTCCTCCCTCCCTCCCATCTCCTGCCGGGGCTCCCCACTGGCCGAGCCAATGAGCGCGGGGGTGGCGCCCACGGCAGAGGGCTGCTCTAACGATGCTCAGACCAGGCAGCCGCACTTTCTCCGGGATACATGACCGCAGCTCTTGCTGCCTCAAGGGTGGGACCCGACTCTCAGATTTGCCCCAGTTTTTGGTCTGAAAAATATAACCACTGTCCCTAAAAATGGTGGCTGCAGAGAAAGGAGGAGAGATTTTCAGGTCCCAAAAAGCCAGCTGAAGCAGCCACTGACCCTTGGGAAGAAACTGAAACTCTGAGGTTCTAACCACAGTTCCCCGCAGGGCAGCTACGACATATTAGGTCGCCAGTGTCATTTTTAAAAATGGACACGTGACAGTTGGGAAAATAACGTTTCCCTTCTTGGTTTATGACCCTCCCGACTTCTTCTCCCCTATCCTTTCCTCTTCCCTTCATTTCACGTTTACGTTTTTTTTTTTTTTTTTTGGCTTCTGGCTTCTAGGAAGGAAGCTAATTTTATTTGCTGCCAAGAGAAGGTCATGTGGAAAATTGCTCTAGAACTTTCCTGGCCATGTGTGAATTACTGACAGCGAGAAATAGCATTGAGGCAGCTTGGGAGCATGCAGGGAATGGAGGGGACCGGCGGGAGGGAGGGCGCCCCAGGGTCTGTCCTAATCAGAGCGCAGGGTTGTCAAATGGGGAAGAAAATGTTCTCAGGTACTGAGAGCAAGACGAGCAGATGGAGATGGAAATGGTTCCCAAGAGTTGTTTTCGCCCTTGTTTTTCTTTTAAGCTAGCATAAACTTAAAGTTAAAATTTAGAAAAGGACTTTTCCTTTTAGAGAACAGAAGCTGGATTCAGGCCTAATAGGAGGGACGAGCTACAGGAGAAAGGCCCAGGTGGGTGGGCTTCAATCCTGCGGGCGCCATAGTGCGTGTCCCCCTGAACCGCCTCCCCCCATCCCAGGGGTGACTATGTCCTCATCTCACGAAGGGGATAGGTGCGTCAGCTTAGAGGCATCAACCCTTCCCGTTACTGGAAAACGACACCCAGCCGTATCCTGCGGGTGGGAGGTCTGGGGGTGCCGCCCTCACAGGAGGGGAAGGCTGCTAAGTGCCTGGCATGCCCAGCCGGTCAGCTGCAGCATCGCCTTTTAATTTTGGAGACCCCCTCACAAGGGAGGACCTGCTGTTTCCAAATTAAAGGATCGGCTGGAAACCTCTGCTGGGGACCCTTCTGCAGGTGGGCAGCCCTTGGAGCCTTGTGTTAACATCCTCTGGGTTCTGGGGTTGCACACCCGAGGTCTGCCCCAGAGTGAGGCTGCCTCCCCAAGACTCCCTCAGAGGGAGCCAGCTCCCTCCACAGGGAAAGCTGACAAGCACCTACTATGTGCTGGGCTCCATTTTGCATGAACCCAAACCAAGCGTCCGCCTTCAGGGAGTTTATATTCTAGTTGAGAAGGCAATGAACACATAGAGATCTCTATACAACAGAACAGTGGGAGGCCGAGAGCTAAGAAGGAAACAGAGCAGCTCAGCATCAGCACGGGAGAGGGAGGGAGGGGAGAGGGGAGACGTGGGGGAGGGAAGGAGGGGAGAGAGAAGGATGAGGGGAGGGAAGACTGGGGAGGGGGAAGGAGGGGAGAGGGAAGGAGGGGAGGGGGGAGGCTGCCACTGAGGGAGGAGAGTGGAGGGAAGCCCCTCTTGCAAGGTGGCATGAGGCAGCCACCTGGGGGCAGAGTGTCCCAGAGGAGGGAACAGAGTGAGGCGCTGTATTAATTTGCATTCATTGATATTTTGCCTGGAGCACCAACTCAATCCAAGACTTAAGTGATCCTTACATTTGCAGAGCTTCAAATTCCCTTGTATTTGCATTTTTCAAAAGAACGTCTAAAAGGCAAAGGAACATCCTGGTATTTGCATTAGACAGATCTTTGTGCTCAGGGGTGGGGGGCTTCCTGGGTCCCCAACTCAGCCCCAGGAAGCCCAGCCATGACATCCTCCGGAAAGATGGCCACCACCTGGGCTGCCCAGGCCACTCGACTGCCTCCCGCCACGGGGGCCCGGCTGGCTGAGTGGTTCAGAACAGGGGCCCTGGAAGCGGTCAAGCTCATGGCTGGTTCGGGGTCCTGGTTCCTCTACTTGCTGGCTAACTGTGTGACCTTGGGCAGGTTTCTTGACCTGTGTGAGCTGGTAAAATGGGATGGATACTGTAGGTAATGAGTTTAGCAAACAGCGGGGGTTGTTGTGAGAATTAAAAAAGACAGCACAGTGCTCAGAACTGCGCTTGGGACCTGAGATCCTCTAGGGACCACTGGGCACCTCCTGCGGGCGTGTCACTCCCGCAGCTCCTGGAGGCTCGTGAAGGGAAGGGAAGAGAGAGCCCCGACCTGCAAAGTCCTAGTGGACAAACACACATAAGAGTGGGCAGGGGAATAAGAAGTTCCCCAGCATACACGCACACGTGCTCCTTTCAATACTCAGCGCCCGTTCTCCAGACAGGCTGTAGGTTGCAGCCGCACACACTGCATCCTGCAGACAGCCCCTCTCAGCCGCTTGTGGGGCAAAGCAGGCCACACAAATGCAGCAGAAGGCTGGGCCAGGACAATGAGGAGTGGTGGGCACTGGGGCAAACTGGACCACTCATGTTCTGTCCACAGGGAACAGCAGCTGTTCCTCTCTAGCTGCTTGTTACCATGAAACACTGTGTATCCCGTGTGGCCGGATCTACTTTTACAAGAGAGGGTGAAAATCCGAACTTCTATCTGAGCTTTCTCAATTTGTACACGTTGGCTCCTAGAAACATCCTTAAAGTGCCATGTGAGAACAGAGATCCATATAGACAGAGTAGATTAGTGACTGTCCAAGCCGGGGGAGGTTGGGGGAAATGAGGAATGACTGAGGGGGATGAAGACGTAAAATTGATTGTGGATGGTTGCACGACTCTAAATATACTAAGAGCCATTGTGCACTTTAAGTGGGTGGAGTGTACGGCGTGTGAATTCTATCTCAAAAGTACATGAGCCAGAGTGAGTGGGGGTCTTTGTGCAGCCTGAGTCATCAACGCCACATTATTTTTTGAGACCGGGATGCATGCACAATGCTGGGAAACCCAATCATCATCGTGTCTGTTTAACTTCTGAGCACAGATACATTGATGGGGGGGAGGGATGTAACTTTTCTTTGGGCATTATGTTTTTCTGAGTTTATTATTTACAGTGCTGGCTTCCCTTGTGGTAATTTGTTATGGAGCAAAGAGACTGATGCCATAAGACGTGACCAGCGCCCAGGCTCCTTCTGTTCTCATTCACGCTTATTTGGCACCTCCTGCCTGCTTGGTGAGGGCCCCAGTGTGCCTGGGACCGAAGGGGTCCCTGAAATGCTGGACTTTCAGTTTCAAAATCAGAAAGTCCTGGGAAGACGGGGGCAGAGAGACTTCATGCTGTGTCTGAGTGCCCCGGCTGCTCAGCGTATCGTTCTCTCTGCAAGTTAGAGAACCGGCCTGTGGGCCCCAAATGTTGGCCACCATGTGAGCTTGGACCAGAAAGGTTCAGAGGCCCCCCCCACTCCACCCCCCATCGTGCCCATTGGCAAGGGGTCCTCGGGGAGGGGTGCGCCAATCAGCAGTGGGGACCAGAGGGTCTGGCTCCTCACAACGTTAACCAACCTGATTGGTGACAACAGCACCTTGCTGTTTTAAACGCGCTTTCTGATTATCTGTGAGGTCAAACTTCAAACAGACGTGTGGATTGGCCACTTGTGGTTTTCTTTGGAATTGACGTTCTCTGTGGGTTTTAGTGCTTTTCTACAATCCAGCTTTTAAAATGCTTTTTTCATAGCATCATTTCTTTTTTCCATTTGTAAAAGTACCATACACTTAATGAGTGCAACTTAGAATGGTAGAAAAGTCCACAGAAGACAGAGACACATCGGCCACCGCCCACCACTCAGAGATGGCTCCCCACAACGCCCCAGGTTTGCTTCCTGAGCCTCAAACGCTGAAGAGCATGTCGATTCAGCTCAGCGAGCAGAACGCGGGTGCATTTTATTTTTATAGCAATTCTGCCTCTCTCTGACTTTTGCTCTTTTATGCAGTGGGGGAATTGAATCGAATAGGAATAAAAGGACACAAGAATCAGTAAAATAACTCACTTCCTGCTCACTTCCTTCTCTTGCTCTAAGAAACGGCAGTGAGACCCAACAGGAGCTGCTCCAGGTGCTCACTGCCGAGCAGCTCCCAGACGGTGAGAAAGGTCCCTGCCCTCGCGAGCCCAGCTCTTTATCTCTAAATGAAGATGATCAGACCCCCCTCTCAGCCGCTCCCAGCATCAGGCACGTGCTCTGTGGTGAGTCCGCCGGCAGCGCAGAGCCCCGACTCACGCGTACCTTTGAGCAGGACTCAATGGAGCCGCAGTCGTCAAACGCTTGGCAAAAGATCGTGGCCAGCCGCCTATCCAGATCTTGAATTTTGGTCTCAAAATCAGCGTAATCGTCATCAAAACTCTAAAAGCGAATTAAAACGTCAACCTCGTAATCAGCGTGCAAAGTAGGAGGAGCTCTCGGTCTAACACCCCCAAGCCCACGGGCAGGACGCGGGCTTGCATCTTAGCTGGCGTGCTCATCGCCTGTGGACTGCTCCAGTGCACAGTGACGTCCTCAAAAAATGTGCTGGGATTGTGTGCCACACACTCCCCCAGCGTGTCCTCCCACTCCTGGGGCATTGGTCAGTGATCCAGCCAAGGCTCCCGACTTACCAAATCGCCAGGGTCCAAGGGGTCATATTTGCAGTCAGCAAAAACCTTCACCAGCTCGAAGACCTCATCGTAGATGTGCGTGACCAGGCTTCCCAGGATGTTCCCCCTCACGCCCCCAAGCTCGATTTTCTCTAGCTTCAGAAACTCAATAGCTGTTTTATAAAGGTCCTGGTGGAGAAAAAATCCAGTGCACTTAGTCAATTCATCTTCGTGACCAAACTCAATGGTTCAGTCACTAATCCAGATCTGACCCCAGCAGGGAGAAGCCCGGAGGGCGATGCCCCAGGGCCACATGACAATCTTGGGAGCCCTCTGTTTATTTGTGTTAACGTTCTCTAAAGTCATTTCTGGAACAGAGGGAGAGGGGACGGGAGGAAGAGTTCCGTGAATCATCTCCAAGTCGTGAACACGGAGGAGGAGGAGATGATGGCTCGGTTCCTGTCCCGAACTTATGCTGGCCGAAATGTGTCTCTCAACAAACCACACTTTACTGGGGCCTCCGTTTCCTCAGCTGTGGGAGGAAGCGGTGGGAAAGGCATGCCGTCGTTTCTGATGCTCTTGCTAAGCTTCAAATTCTGTGCTTCCTGGGAGACCATTCCACACTCAGAGCCCGTCCCTGACGGTGGTCTGAGAGGATGCCCCCTACCGTACAGGATGCCTGACGGATGTGCGCGTGTGTGTTCTGCTTCCTCTGAGCTGTGGCTCTCGTCTGGCCTTCTCCTGGAGGCTTTCCTGACTACTGCAGCCCACAGTGGTGCCTACCTTTCCAGAATCCCCATTTGCTATCTGCATTCTTTGTTTTGGCATTTAATCCCATTCGGTCCCATCACGTTATCTAACACTTCTGTGTGCAGCTCTTATTTCCCACTTGAGATCCCAAAGTCTCCTTGAGGACCACAAGCAGGGTCTGACACAGCACCCAACACCATTTGGACTGAAGATGTGCATATGGCGCTCATTTCACTCCCCTAAGCTGGTGCTGAGGTTGGCGCCATTTTCCCAAAGAGTCCAAGACACGTCGAGCCGTAACCAAAGCAAACCCACGAAAAGCAACGGCATGGGCGTTCCCTGAGCTCCCAGGCTTCCCACCCAAGGACAAGGACAAGGCTGGCATGGCTGATGTGGTCCATGTGGCAGGGGTGGACAGGAAGGCCATTTCCCCCACCCTCAAAAGCCCCTCTTTCCCAGAAACTTCATCCTGACTCAGAATCTGTAATGTAGGAACTAACGGCTACTTGGCCAGAAACTTGGCTGGGACCCTCAGTTCTCAGGCTGGGAGCCTTCGGGAATGAAGAAGCAAGCACCCCATGATGGAAATTCCGGAATCCTATGTGGGCCTCCCTTCTGCCTCCCAGAGGGCGTGGATGCAACCCAGACAGGGCTTTCTAAAGCCTCTGCTAAAGGCGCCACCATCAAATCAAAGCCCAATGGTTCCAGGATGGTTTTTGCCCCTTTTCAAAGGTGTGAATACTATGTGCAGAAAGTTAAAAAAAAAAAAAAAACCTGCAGAAGGTTAGAAAACAAAAAGCAAAGCTTTCTTGCCCTCCCACATCCTCAACCCTCTCCTCTTCGCCCAGAGGAGACCGTCTGGAACCGTTTGTAAATCTGCGTCTGCTATGTGTCGCCCCCTGCACCCACAGTGCTTCTGCAGGGCCCGTCTTACGTCTTAATTTGTACGTATCCCACTACCTCCCTCCCTTTGGCCTCCAGGCTTCCTGACCATGGTCACTTGATTTGTCGTCAGCCTGCTCAAAGACAAAGGGCAGGAGATAAGGGGAGGGGCAACCAGAATGGGTCACTGTTGCTCTTGGCTAACAGCTCCGGGCTAGGAGGAGGCTGGCCCAACGGCTCGGTTTCCCGATGACATGGATGTTTGGGTGTGACTTTCGTTTTCTCTCCCGAGAGACTATCTGAAAGCGGGGTGAGGATGGGAGATGCAGCTATCCTGAGGTAGGGCAGCCTGCGCAGAGTCGGCGAAGGTGAACCAAATTCCACCTTTACCTCAATGGTCTGGAGGCGATGGAAGAAGGAATTCATCCTGGAAAATGCAAGGGAAGAAGGGAATTCCCAAGGCACCGGCTCCTTGTTTTTCTAGGAGAGAGCGCCAGAGAAAAGGTCACGTTGGCCCCAGCCGCTCCGTCGGACTCCGCGCAGGGCTAACACCCACTCAACCTCGGGGGGCTGGACGGCCGCTCTGCAGCTCACGGCGCACCTTAAAGAAGAGCTTCATGTTGGCGCAGCAGAAGTCATAGATGCGGTAGAGCTCCTTGAGAACATTCACAGCCAGGGAGATGCCGCTCAGAACCTCCTCGATTTCCCCTTGCAGGCCTTTCAGCACCTCGTCTGGGCTCAGGAAAGTTCGTGTCTGGGGCAGAAGAGAAGACACCCCGAAGTTCTGACGAGTCATGTGGGGGCTGTCCAGGCACCCTGTGTCTGAAGGCTGCTCTGGCGCTTAGAGATGACCCACCACCGGGCCCCACCATCTGCTTCTTACGACACATCAGCTGTCCCTCAGGTTCACGTCCCAACCCGCCTGCCAACCACTGGGCGGTTTCCGGCAGACCAAGCTGCTTCTCTCCCCTGCCCCTTCATCCCGAGCTAAGCCTGCAGCAAAAACCGATTTTGGTCACAGATGACTAGGGGTCCAGAAATCCAGTCCTGCTACGGGCTGCAGGATCCCGGGCTCCAGTGCCCTTCCGTCCTGCAGGGGGGGCCAGTAAATGCGTGCTCGTGAGAAGGAAGGAGAGGGAATCTGTGTTGAGAGAGACAAGAGGCGGCTCGGCAGAGGACCAGATAAAGCCCACAAAGCCCCTGTCCGAGTCTTGGGGTGCTGGGATGTGAGGGGTAGCCCCCTTCCCTTCTGCCTCCCTCCCAACATGGGGCAGGTTGGGCTGCCACTGCCCAGGTCTTGGGAGAACTCTGGGTGGCCACCAAGAGGGCCCAAGCTTAGTCCAGGCCTGAAAATCCCTGTGCCAATATCTCTGCCTGCTTTTAAATGGCCGGGGTGTGTGAGCAGGGGGACAACCGGGTGGAAGGGGAGAGAGGATCCGATGGTAACGATGGGGCGGCCACGGGCTGGGGGAGGGTACCATCTCGATGATCTGGTTGCAGAACTCCTGAAGGATGACGATGATCCTGGAGGGTGTGTTATAGTGCTCGGAGGTGGCCCAGATAAAGCAGATGGTGTACAGCACCTTGGCAATGAAGGTCGGGAGCTGGGGAGAGACAGGCCCCGCGTGCGCTTTGTGGCGCCACCTCAGCTCTCCCCTCCCCACAGCTCCAGGAGGGGACCCCCAAGTGGGAGGAGGAGGCACTCCCTGGGACCACCCCCCTGATCACAGCAAAGAGGCCCGCAGCCCCCGCTCCCCAAGACACGAGAGCAGCCCCTGCAAAGTGACCTTCCTCCTGACAACATACCACCGTGAAGTCGGCCTGCTCCATCTCCTCCAACAAGATCCGCAGCGGCTTCAGATACAGAACAATATCGTTGGCTTCCTTCAGCCCTGCGCAGAACAAGAATAAGTGCCTGTGCTCGCGAGAGAGAAAATCGACCCCACCTGCGGTGGTCAGAAATGACGACGGTGCAGCTGTGTGTGTGTATCGAGACTTGCTCCTAAGAAACAGGGCCTTCCTCAAAAGGAGGGCCCAGGGAAGCTGCTTATGGGGGAGGCGTATGCCCCCCGGGGTTGGTGCCAGGCCTCCCCCAGCCCCTCCCAGAAGGCATCCCCAGCTTCTCGCGGCTCTTGGGCGGGTCACCAGCTTACCTTCAGTGATGTTCATATACACGTTCTGCAGGGCTGGCCAGTAGCAGCTTTTGGCTTTTTCCAGGATCTCAACTATTTTGTTCACTTTGGGCCTATTTAGCTGAGAAGGAGAGAAGAAGAATATCAACCCTTCAGTAGAAACTGGCAGACCCCAGACGAGGGCCACCTGACCCTGCAGCCGGCTGGAGCTGAGGAGTGACGCAGGTTATCTGGGTCCCCTCGGGGCTCCTGGGGATCAGCACAGAGAGGGTGGGTGCTCATGAATTCGCCTGGCTGAGCAGCTGAGCGCCCGGTCACCGCGGCGACAAAGAGGCGTCACCTGCTCATGGATGCACTGCAGGTTCATGAGCCGGGCGTCCCAGAACTCGAACTCCACTCGGGGCAGGGGGTGCAGCCCGTCCAGCAGGGCCTGGGCTGAGTCCTTGCTCAGCACGTCTCTGATCTGGTGGGACCAGTCGATGATGATGGTTTCGATGGCGTGCAGCAGCGAGCTGTCCAGGGAAGCGGGAATCCTGCAGAGCAGAAGGTCGAGAAGATGCTGTCACGGCCCCGGGTACAGCCCTGGCCCTTCTGGGCGGGAATCCTCCCTCATTCAGCCAACAGGCCCCAAAGAACCAGCAGAGGCACCGGTCCTGCCTCATGTCCCGGGGCTTCTCACAGTCACCTGCGGGAGGCCGGAGGATTCCCCAAACCTCCCTGCTGTGACAGACCCTGAGCAAATGCTGGGTGTTGTCAGAGATGCCAGCACCCCGAAGAAAGGGGCAGAGGAGGACCAACTCTGGAATAAATTCTGTGCTCAAGGCGGCTCCTCCCGGCAGTTCTCATGGGGGTCACCACAGGGCATGTGTTCGGGGTTGGTGGACAACCCAGGGAGGACCTGCCCGTAGGATGAGCCCCCCAGGAGAGGTCGCCCTCTGATGCGAGCAAATGCAACAAGCTATCACACTGTAACGGCTTCAAGGGCATCACTCAGACACCAGGCAGTTGTAAATGGTGGTCAGGCAGGTGCGAGGGGACAGCTTGGGGTTCACGTGCTTCCTGGGGTCCCTGGGACGCTACACCCCCTTGACTTGCAGCCTCCACCTGCTGAAAATCCCTTCCATGCCCCTCACTGCCCCTCAGTCCCCACATCCAAAAGCTGGGTATCCTTTTCCTGGCTGTGTGACATGTATGACAATGTGACATCCTTTGCATGTCATGTGATGCCGGGACGGGTGCACATGTGTGATGGAGGTGGGGCTAGAGCACAGGTGTCCAGCGGTTGCCAGAGCTGGAATTGAGGGTGCTCCAGCGCCTCATCCTGTCCTGTCCTTGTGCCTTTGACCTTGGACTCCAGCACCATCTTGCCCTCGTATGTTTCGTTTGCAGTGGGACAGACTGTCCTCGGTGGTCTGGTGTGAGATGCTTCTCCGCCCAGCGCGTTCCCCGGGCCAGGCCTGCCTACCTCTCCATGGACTCCCGCGTGCCGTGCAGGCTCCGCAGGTGCTCTGGAACGGGGAGCAGGGTCTTCCCTCGGATCTTGCCCCCCATCACGAACATTTCGTTCTTCAGCTTGTGGACTTGCTTCACAATGTCTTCGGAGACCACCCGGGGCCATCCGCTCATGTTTTCACTTTGGTTCAACAGAGAGTAGAGGACCTGAAAGAAAATGGGTCTCTAGTTCTGCCCGCGCCATCTCCAGCTCAGTGACCCCCAGGAGGAGTGGGGAGCCCTCCGTGCGTGTTCACAGATGAGCACAGCAACGCCCAGAGGACTGGGTCACTTGCATTCTGCCCGGTCTGACTGCCAGAGCGTGCCAGCGTGCCGCAGCTGCCGTACCTGCCAAGAGTGTCACCCAGAGGAGGCAGGACAGCAGAGAGAGGCAGAACTAGCAGCCCATTTTCTCCCTTCCTCACTCAAAGTCTTAGAGCTGAGGAGGCCTGTCGACTGTCCGAATGGCCCACACCCTCCACAGCTGCCGGCAGGGACGAGGTTCTCATGAGATCCAGAGAGACCAAGGCGATGGCCTGGAGGCCCGGTCAGACGGCAGGCCTGTCCCAGCTGTCAGGGCAGCGGGCCTGGGCTTCTGCATTTACAACCAGCTCCCAGGCCGTGCTGATGCTGCCGGGCTGCGGACCACCCTCTGACTAGCCGGCTTCTAGCCCACTCCCCGAAAGTATGAGAAACAGAGGTTGTTCCTCCTGAGCCCCCCGTCCCTGGCCCAGGGTGGGCCGCCTGGGTGCACCCACCTCCTCCACGATCGCAATCAGCTGGTCCACAGGTGCCGGGCTTATGTCCCCGTAGATGAAACGGTCCTTGTAGTCGCTCTTGCTGATGTTTTCAGGTTTCTTCTTGATGAAGTAAACTCCTTTGGACTTGAGCGACGCTGGGAAGCCCAGGCAGGGAAGGATCATGCCCGAGGGATGGAGCGTCATCACCAGGACCGAGACTTCCGGCTTCTCGAAGAACTCGGTGAACAAGGCCACGTTCTCTTCCATTCCAATCATCCTGCTCCACTTGTCCGGCTTGAACTTCAGGATGAGAGAAGCTATTCCCTCCAAATACTCTAGTCTGACATCTGGTGTAATCGTCATCTTGACGTTTCCTTACACCACCCGCGGTCACCTGTTAAATGAGCAGAGACACGGATGCGACACAACTTCTGGGGATCTCGCTTTCCCATCCGTCACCAGAACCATTGGACATCCCTGTTCTAACCAAGCAGGAAAAAAGGGTCCTCGTGAGTGTGTTGCTTTCAGCTGTGGATGGGCTGAGGGAGGCACAAGGAGGTCACGTCCGTCTGCCCTGGCTGGACAGCCGGCCCTGCCTCGCTGTGGGTGGCACCGTGGAGCAGGGCCACACAACAGTGGTGTGTGCTTGTGTGAGTTGTGACCATGAAGTAACAGGCTGGGAAAGGTGGACATGGATGCTGGGGAAAAGGAAATGATGGCGGCGAGATAGTCTGAAGGCTTGAGGGGTGGGGGAAGGCCCAACGAGAAGATGGCATCGTCAGGTTGAAGGGTCCCAAAAGGAGATGATGGAAGGACATGGCACCCCTAGGACACGGGCAAAACCCGGAAAGAGGAGGGCTGGCCCTGACCTTCAGTGTGTGAAGCCCATCATGCTCTCCCTGTCCTAACCCCAGCCAGAGTGTACCCCAACTTTTGCCCTGCTCGTCAGCCTCTCCCCTCCCCCCTGCACTCTCCACCACGTGCCCATAAAGGGATCCAACTGCTGACTCCTCACAGACCCCCCAGAAGCTGCTCACATTGCCCCTGGGAGAAGCTCAGAGACAGCTTCTCCGGGAGGTGGACCTACGCTGGCCCTCAGGACTTGACAGGAAGAAGCCAGGGTGGGGGGCTTCCAGGAGAAGACTGTGGGCTCACGCAGGGCGGAGAATAGTCTGGAGCGGCTGCAGTGAGGACACCGGGGAGACAGCCGTCCAGGAAGGGGCCGGGTGGGCGATGGGTCTCCCGTCCGCCAGGGCCTGGGTCCTCTGTCCTCTGAAGCCCCCAGCGTTGCCTCCGAGCACCCACCTGACGGCAAACGGCTGCTCCAGTCTCAAGCAGGACAAACTGATGGGCAGCTCTTTCCCAGACCAGTAAAGCAAACGGCTCCCTTCCCTGAGGGGCTCCAACTGCCATGGAACTTCTGGAACCTTCTCAAGTGACCAGTGGCAGCGCAGCAAATGAGCAACCCTCCATCACGCCCCACAGTGGACAGGCTCTCAGGCTGTAATATTTTAAAACTCCATCCAACAATCTTTGCCTTTGAACTAGAGCATTTAGCCCATTTCATGTCCCGTAATTACTAATATATTGGCATTTAAATTATCATCTTCTTAAACCCTTTCTATCTGCCTGGCCTCTTCTAGGTTCCCTTTCTTTTCCTCTCTTGGCTTCTTCTGGATTAAATAATTTTTATTATTTCATTCCTCCTATTAGCTCAGTTATTATACATCTTCTGTCTTTCTTTCGGGGCACGTGGACATTATCACACACCTCCTGACCTGTCACAGTGTAACAGTCCTTGCTTCTGCCCTCTTCCTGGATGAGGCATTCTCTCCCAACTTATACGTCATTGTTGTGAATTTTAGTTCTAAAACCTTATTATTATTAAAAATGTAATTAAGTAGTTGGTAGTTAAATAAATAAATATTCATTAGATTTCCCCCCATGATCACTTTGTTTTCCCCTGTGAGCTTCCACCTGGGATCAATCGCTTTCTGCCTCTGTCAGCATTTTCCCTTTATCTTCTGGAAAAGCCAGCTTTGGTGGCCGGGCGGAGGGAGCGGAAGACGCACTTTATTTCCTGGAGCTCATCCCAACAGTGAGCGAAGGTCGGGAGCACGACGATGGCGTCCACTCTCACCATTGTTCCTCATCACCATGCTGGGGGTTCCAGCCGGGGGGCCTTGGCAAGAAAGGAAAAAAGAGGCTTTCAGACGGAAAAAAAGAGGTGAAACTCTCTCTGTTCACAGATGCCATGATCCTGTACGTAGAAAATCCTAATAAATCTATAAAACAACTATTAGCAAGGCTGCAGGATACGAGATTGACATACAAAAATCCTCGGTGTTTCTGTAGACCAGCAATGAACAACCCGGTAATGAAACTCAGAAAGCAATCCTCATTTTACAATATTATCGAAACAACTCCATTTACAATAGCACCAAAAGAATAAAATAGTCACGAATAATTTTTTTAAAAACAAGGCCAAGACCTACACACGGAAAACTACAAGACGTCACCGGAAGGCGTTCAAGAAGCTTTGAATGAACGGAATGCCATCCCCACTCACGGACCGGAAGGCGCAACACTGTTGAGATGATAGTTCTTCTCAAACTTATCTACAGATTCAACACAGGCCCTCTCAAAATCCCAGCTGGCTTTTTTGCAGAAATGGAAGAGCCCAGCCTAAAATCCATATGGAAATGGAAGGGACCAAGAACAGCCAAAACCATCTTGAAAAAGAGCAAGGTTGCAGGACTCACGCTTTCTGATGTCGAAACTCAGCACAGCCAAGACTGAGTGCTGCTGGCGCGAAGATGGACTCACAGGTCAGTGGACTGGAACTGAGAGTCCAGAAACCAACTCACCTTTGTGGACAGTTGATTTCAGACAAGAGTGCCACAATTCAGTGGGAAAGAACAGTCTTTCGACTAATGGTATTGGAACAACTGAATATCCACATGCAAAGGAGGAAAGTTGCCTCAGGCTAGCTACAAAAATTAACTACAAATGGATCAAAGGCCTAACTGTAGGAGCTAAGTTATAAAACTCTTAGACTAGAGCACAGGAGTAGATCTTTGTGACCAGGGAGGAGGCAGCGGTTTCGCACATGGGACGCCAAAAGCATAAGAGACCAACGAAAAAACAGATAAATTGGGCATCATCAAAACGGAAAAACTTCTGGGCTTCAAAGGACACTGCAAAGAAAGTGAGAAGACAACCCACAAAGTGAGAGAAAACATTTGCAAATCATGTATCTGATAAGGGACTTGTATTCAGAATATACATAGAACTCATAACAATAATAAAAACACAAACGACATAATTAAAAATGGGTAAAGGATATAGAGAGACGTTTCTCCAAGAAAGAGATACAAATGAATAAGTACATGAAAAGACACTCAACTTCATTAGTCATCAGGGAAATGAACTCACAGGAGGCTCCTAGGAGAGTAAAATTTGCAGACACAGAAAGGGGAAGGGAGGTCAGCGGGGGATGGGAGATGGAGGGATGGGAGTTACCGTGTCCTGGAGACAGAGTTTCAGTTGGGGAGGGTGAAAAATTCCTGGAGATGGATGGTGGCGATGGTTGCACAACAATGTGAGTGTGCCTGATGTCACTGAGCTGTGCACTCAGCCATGGTTAGAATGGTGAATTTTACGTTCTATTTTACCACGCACACAGAAACCCCACTTCACCTTGAGAGCCAGGCTGTCCCGCCACTTTCGTGCCTTCCCCTTCACACCCCCGCCATCCTGCCATCCTGCCATCCTGCACTCCCTCGGGACTCTGGGTTCTAGATCACTGTCAGATTTCACTCCTCTGCATCACCCCAGGGGACGTCAGTGTCCACACAGATGACCTCATCAGTGCCCTGGCCTCCTGGGCCACTGAGCAGTGCTGGGGACAGGCACACACCTGTGCACCCGCCGAGGCCCACATACTGCTTGCTATTTCTGCTGGGTCGGTTTTTTTTCAATTAAAAATTTTCTTTTTGTCAACTCGCCGTGCTGTTGACACTTCTGAACCTGCATTTTTCGACTGACCTTTCTCTTCCCCTCAGCAGATGACTCGGCCATTAACTCGGGTGGAAAACAGAAGCCCCCAGAGGCAGCTTTCTGAATCGTCCACAACCAGACCTGACCTAACAGAGGTGGCAGCCCTCCCTCCTGTGGGTCAACCCTCCCTGAGCTCCGGGTCCAACCTCCACACAAATTGTACTCCCCAGGGTGTATGTGTCGCCTAGACACAAAGGATCGAATGTCTGGTGGTGGAATCATGGACACGGCAGGGAGTCAGGGAGACACCGCTTTGGCCCTCAAACCACAGCTCTGGGCCCCTGGGGTCTGTGCTCTGCCTGGCGTGAAGGAGAGACTCACAAGTGACGTGGAGAAAGGTCACACCTGTGGTCCCACCTGATCAAAGAAGATAGAGAAGGACTCACGTTTTCTAGATGACACAAGGAACCTTCGATACGGACACACTGTCCACGCTGCAGCAGAAACAGCGGGCCCTTCGGAAACGGCCAGGGCAGTGTGCACGTGAAGCATCTTGATGTCTGCGTCTGGGGCAGAGCACTGGGTGGCCAGCTGCGGCCCACCATCCCCTCATTTCCTCTGCTCTGACGGTCACAGCCCGCGTGGGGGACGAGCCGAGAGGCTCATCGGCTGCTCCAGTCCCCTGGGAGCACTTCCTCCCTGCTGAATTAACTGGGAAGACAAGTTCACGACAGACGTGACCCACCATTAAATGCAATTGCAGGACAATCTTCCCCTGCTGGGGATGCTTGCAGACAGCGGGGGCCGGGCCATCTGGGTCTCATCACTCCCCCCACCACACACATCCTCTCGCTGTCTACTTTGGCCACATGTCCTCATGCTGAGTTCCCAGCAGAGGGGACAGGAGGAAGGGCCGCCTTGGATGTCCGCGCCCCCGGGTTGGGTGGAAAGGGAGGGCTGAACCCGCCTGGCCCAGCAGGGGACTCTTCCTTCACAAAGAGGGCAGTGTGGCCAGACAGATGTCTCCCCCTGCTAGGTTTTCAAGGGTCACCGCAAGGCCAGGCACCTTGGAGGCCGGGGGACCTTTTCTCCTTTGGGGTCTCTGCATAGCAAGCCCTGGAGTAAGGCCCCCCACAAGGCACAGAAATGTATGGATGCCAAGTGATCCAGGCTGGGAAACAGGGCAGGTCAGTGAGAGGATTTCACAGCAAAATCTGGCTTTGTCTATACAGGGGGAGCGGGCAGTGCTGCCTGTGGAGGCAGGGGCTTGACAGACACGCCTGTGTGGGCTGGTCCCGCAGGAAAGGAGCTGGACATCAGCTAGAGGCGATAGAGACAGAGTTTATTCGGCACTATTGCGAGAGAGCAAAGAGCTGCTCTCGACTCCAAAGACAGCTGGGGATTTACAGCCAGTGAGCGGCGCGGGGGAAGGTGAATGGAAGATCACTAACCGCAGACACCAAGGGAGGGGGATTCTTGCGAAAGGAACCTAACAGGATTCTCACTAAAGGCAGCTGAGGACGCAGACATCAAATGCCAGGATGAGGAACCTGATCCGATGTCGATGTCGGGGGTGGGGGTAACATAGCAGGGCTTTTCGCTAAGATGGCTTAGGCAGGCCCAGGGCAGGCCCAGGAACAAGGCCTGTTGAAGAGAGGGCTCAGAGCAACCTGTTCCAAGTTTGGTCAAGGAGGGGGTCTTTGTCAGGCTTCAACCTAATAAGGGGTTCTGTGTTTTGGGGAGCAGGAGGTTGACAGACCTCAGGGCTTCTCTCCCCTGTGGGCTGGTCTGGCCACAGGGGTCTGGCCCCTGTGTTCTCTGCAGTCATGGGGGGGCCCTTCTGTTGTTTGGGGCCCATTCTAGATAGTGATGACCTGAGGCTCTCGGCCGAGCCCATGTTACTGGTAGAAGACCCACGGACACTCCCCGAATAACTGGGGCTGACGTCATGGCTGGACCAGCCCTGTGCTTCTTGTTGTGATCCCAGGATGGACGCACTTCAGCAAAAACCATTCAGGGAGAAGTGAGGACCAAGATTTACCTATCACACAGGCCCTGGAGGGCACCCGGCTCGACCGAGGGCCACACAGAGAGGTCGTGGGGACTCAGAGAGAGGGAGAGCACGCCTTGACCTCAGGCTCTGCAATTGTTAGGGTCTAAGAGTGGGGTGTCTGGGGTTTCGAGGGGGTCACTCATTATTGGCTAACTGGATGCATGAGAGTGGGAATTAGAGCGTGGGAGACTGAGGCAGGGTCACTCAAGTGGTGCCCCAGGCTTATCCGTTCCCACCACGTTTTCTGAAAGGGGACCTTCATGGGTATGGGGTCCGGCTCCCTATCTGGTTGTTTTGCTAGTGGCTGTGTCATACAGCTGGCAATCTGTTCATTCAAAATGGATGTCTTTTGAAATGGATGCCTTGGCATCAAAACCTTCATGTCAGGCAGGCACGCTATACCTTCCGCTTCTGGGACCCATGCCCTGTCTCTGCCAGTGTCCTGAGTCCATCAGAACCTGCTGTGGACGAGGCCACCCATCCCTGATACACAGGGGCCCTGCTCTCTGCCCAGCTGAGGCCCAGGGGGGCCGCACGGGCTGCCCCTCCGCTTCTTTCTGCCCCCTGCCCTTCCGCTCACCTGATTGCACACACGCTGCCCAATTCATTCTTGTTCTAAGAACTTATGGCGCCTGAAGTCTATATTTCTATTAAATGTAAGATAAAAGAAGCTCTCCATAATTTTCACTTTTATTTCTAAAAATGCTCCAATGAAGCTTGTTACTTTCGTCGCATTCCTTAGGACATTGGTTCTCAGAGCGGGGTCCTGGGACCCGCAGCATCAACCCACATCTCCTGGGAGGGACCTAGGGCCGCAGGTGCTTGGCGCTCCCCAGACTG